TGAATCTTGCAGATGTTCAGCAATTTTATTGTAGGGGATTTGTGTCTCCCTTAATCGATATCTGATAGTTGAGAAGAATGATGATTGAACAGGTCGTCATCGTCTCCCCATCTTGCGGTTTCTTGGTGAAAACATGGTCAGTATAGACAGTACAGACTACAATGAACAAAGTGATGATACAAAACATTGGGAGGTTCAAATTGCTATCGTTTGGGGATGATTAAAACGAGCATCCAGCAGGCTGGCTGCAACAGGTGCTTCTTATTACATGGAATATAGGATTCCCGGATTCCCAACAAAAAATATTACGTATATCAAAATCACAATCAGAATAGGAGACATAAGACATATGACATTTAGGAATTCCCAATGATTTTTCTTTCCCCCGACGGTTCGCCAGGCAAGACCCTGTACGAAAAGCGCCGCTGCAATTCGTGTGGCTCATCCATGGGGAGTTCGGCGAAGAGTTGGAGCTGCAGAATTTTCCCTTCGACGTCCAGGATCTCACCGTGATGATCCGTTTTGGATGGTGCCTTTTTCGACACGTTTGGGGATGGGATGGGATCATCAAGAAATGATCAATAAAATCTTGAATGGAGTGGTTTTCTTGTGAAAAATCTGGAAGCTGGCGGGGATTTTATCCCCTGATATATGAGTTTCTGGTTAGGATTGTCAGATTGTCCTTCCGATTCTGGGATTGAGCAGTTTTTATGTTGGGAGAAATAACTATGGATCAAATATATATATATATATACATATATATATATATACATATATATATACACATTATGCATTTAAAGACTATGTATTGGGGTGATGAACCAGCATTTGCCAACTATCTTGGTGTGAAGAGAGGAGTACCAGGGTTTTGACCCATTAAGCTCAAGTACTAAAGAAAATGGTACTGAGTCTCACAACTTGCTGTGCTACAAGGCCGTGAGTAGTGAATCACATTACAGGCAGAACCTTAGAGCCCAGGCCGAAAGATGAAATGAAACGATGGAAGTGAAATTCCATTGACCTGGAAAAAATGGGTATGTTGCTCTATAAATTGTTGTACTTTGACCAATTTTTTGAAAGTACTATGAGTGTCTAGGACCCCACTAGCTACAAAGCATGTGGCCCCTGTCGTTGTAGATCCTTCCAAGGGCCGCTAAGGCCTTGCAAAGATGATAGGGTACAAGTGCGCTTCATCGACGCGGGCAAGTCTGAGGTGTGGGGTTTGGGTCACCCCAACCCGCCAGAGGCAGATCACCCATTTCGGGTGATGAGTTTGGCCCATTTTCCGTGATCCCTTTGGGACTACAGTAGCTATGTTTTCTATGACAGTAACGAGCACGACTTGTTTGTTAGTCTTGAGGATCTTGAGGTTGTATTTCGAGTTTATAGTGTAGTTATGTGTAGATTTGATTTGGGTTTCAAACCACTGCTCACGATCAAACAAAACTCTTCAGAGTACACCTTCGGGGAGTCAATGGAACATGCACACCTTTGGACATGGTTGGACACGCCCGCCGCAGGTTTTCCTCAACGTTTTCTGCCTGAAAAATGCATGGACTCAGCCGGAGGCTGTGGATGTTCAGTTTGGATTCACCAAGACAAAGAGCGAGAAATTCCCGCAGTTCCCGCTGATTCGCATCCGATGTCAAGTGGGGCGAAAACCAAAGCTGCCTGGCACAGCAGTTGGATGATTTTTGTTGGACTGTTTGTTGGTTTCTGATGGTTACTGTGTATGGGAAGAAGATTGAGTCAGCTTCGAAAAGGGATCGAGGCCTGCATGCGATTTTTGTTGATTCCTCGACTAGCTGGAGTGTTTGTTGAGCTCAAAAACTCAAGAAATTACTTCAAGTCACACTCCATTAATCTTCATTATTTGGGGTTTGTATGAAAATAGGGCACCCCCCAGACCAGATGATGGTCATATGTGACCCAGGACTCCGAAGCCCCCCCCCCTCCCCCCCCCATGGTTCCCCCCCCCTGTGGCCTGGGGTGGTGGTATGGTTCTTCTTGTCCCCCCCCCCTGTGGCCTGTGGTGGTGGTATGGTTCTTCTGGTCCCCCCCCCTGTGGCCTGTGGTGGTGGTATGTTGGTATGTTGGTATGTTGGTATGTATGTTGGTATGTATGTTGGTATGTATGTTGGTATGGTATGGTATGGTATGGTATGGTATGGTATGGTATGGTATGGTATGGTATGGTATGGTATGGTATGGTATGTATGTATGTATGTGTGTATGTATGTATGAATCCATGTACGTGTGTACGCAGGTACGTAGGTACGTAGGTATGTAGGTATGTAGGTAGGTAGGTAGATAGGTATGTATGTCTGTGTGTGTATGTATGTATGGATGGATGGATGGATGGATGGATGGACGGACGGACGGATGGATGGATGGATGGATGGATGCATGCATGCATGCATGCATGCATGTATGTATGGTCCCGTGTCCCGTGTTCCCGAGAGCGTGAGCTTGGGGGACCATACCATTGGGGGGGGGCCAGGGATCCGGAGTCCGGACTCATATATATATATGGTCATCATTTTCCCAATCAGTATTTCCTCATTTTCATACACACCCAATCACACCCATACAATGAAATAGTTTAGCTCAGCCAAGCTCCAAATACCTAGATCTTCGTTTGAAGCACTTTTTGGTGAAAGTATCCTTTTCTGTGCTGCGGCGTAATTCCAAACTGATGGCATTTTTGGGTTTCTGCTGGGTGTCTGTTGGGTTTCTTTTGTGGCATTCTGTTTTGCATCGAAGTAAAACTATGCAAGAAGCTGCAGCGTGTGGTTTCAGTAAGTTTTCAGGGCCTCATTTCATCCTGGTCAGAAACTTTGACTCACTTATCCCAATGCACGCTGGATCAAACTGGTAGTATTTCGAGTTGTGGCTCTTGTTGTCTGGGGATCAATGTGCAAGTTTCGCACATCCCAGCGCATCCCCGGTCAGGTCAAGCCAAAAATGTCTTAGACTTGTGGCGTACTTGAGGCATATTTTGGCGTTATTGCGGGCGGAATTTGGCGGAATTGCCGCATAGGTTGTTGCTTTTGTCAATTCCTTGCATTGATGTGGCCGCAGCGTTATCCTTTACCATTCGCGCAGCAAACTTGTTTGCATCTCTTTACCTTGCAGCTAACTATACAAACAAAGTCTGGCGCGTGCCATGACATAGCCGAGAGACTAGGAGAATCTGAACCCTAGCAGAATGTGTAGTTGCTGAGCATTTTAGCAAGATGTTATCAACAAAGATGGTTCTGATTTGCGGCATTTTTGTGCTGCCACGTGTTTTTCTTTTCCCTGTGTTGCGGCTTTTTTCTTGCATTGCCGCAAAAATAACAGCCACAATGGACTGCGGCACTTTTTCGTCCTCCAAGTGGATCTAGGTACGTTCAACGACTCTAAATCTCACACAGCGGCCCACTGGCACCTGGAATTTCACCCAACTGGTTGGGACACCCATGATTCACCAAATGCTTGGATTTGCTGAAGGTGTTCGTTTTCTGCTTGGTATAGTTGGGATATTATATACTGTAACTGGGATATATGACCAAGGAATAATCTATAGGATTTGCTGACTGGTGATTTGGACATACTTGGACTATTTTCTCACGGACAAATCGGCCATGACAGGGGAATCTATTGGGCATATCATGGCATATCCTCTATCTTTTCGGGACCGCCTTGTATAAATGAAATGTCCAGTCAGGTTCTACTTTGTCAATGTGATCTTGCCGGTGGCTTCCATCGTTCTCGCAAGTGCCTCGTCGCTGGCAGTCTCCCATGATATGGGTGGGCGACTGGGGGCTACCTTGACATTGTTGCTGACAGCAGTGGCCTACAAGTACCTTGTGGCAGAGATGGTGACTCGACTGCGATCAAGGTCAACAAAGAAAGAAAATGAATTCAGGAGATAGAATGCATTAGACAACTATCTAATACTATCTGCAGATGTAGTATTCATGTAGTTTGCCCGTGAACACCAGCTATTCAGGTGCCGAGGATCAGCTACAACACCATGCTGGATTGGTACGTCCTAGTTTGCTGGGCCTTTCTACTGGCGATGGTCTTGGAGAATTGTTTTGTGAAGGGCAACCAACCCAAGGTCTGCGTCATTTTCAGCGGCTCAGCTTCAAGCCATTCACATGGGGCCCGCAGTGACCACCAGACATTCTTTCCGGACATGTGGGATTGTAACTGGGGATAGCAACCTACAATTAAATGTGGCCCATCAGTGCATGTAGCTTTGCCCATTTATCCTAATTGGTGGTCACAAGGTACTGGTGCCTTGCTGATGTGATAAGGTGTGCTCTTTGGTGTCTTCAACGTGGGGTTTGCAGTGCGTGCTCGCTGCATCTACAACTCCGAGCGACAGCGCTTGAAAAAAGTGCCTAGTCCACAGCCGCTGTCAGCGGGCTACCGAAAACTCAGAAAAAGCGCGCGCTCCGACTCCGAGTCCGACACGGAGGAGAACGAGAGTGACTGTGAGGATGACTTCAACATGGAAGACCCTCAGGATCTGACTTTGACTGAAGAAGACGTGAAACTCTTGGAGAAGAACAACATGTCTCCAATGAGCAGTCGGTCAACCGCCAGTGGCTACATCCGAAACTGAAAGCGTTGGATTTTAGACGCAGCTTGGCACCCCGAAGGGGTCCCTTGATCAAGGCAGCCCTGGGGCATCCTGGGGCCTTAGTTACTAATGTTACCCTCCTTCTTTTAGTGTGCTTGCTTGGAGCAAACGATTCTTGCTCTGAAGCCTCGAAATGTCTTCAGACATGGCTTTTGGAGCATGGAGGTCCAAATGGTTGCTGAGCAACAATGGATATTGCTTGAACGCTAATTCAGTAGTGACTTGTGCGCATTCCGGAGAAAGACAGCAAGAGATCGAGCATTTGGCCGGCCATTTTCTCTTGAATCTGTCACGTCTAGCCAAAGCTCGCTTGAATAGGTAGTGCGCAGCAAAACGTGCTGCTTCCCTGTTCAACATTGTCATCGTGATGGAGGCCCAAGCGAATTTTGGGGAATGAACAGAATGACGCTGTTAGTTTTTCCAATAAGAACCTCATGCGTTGGATGCACATTTTCTCTTTTTACGCTTTCTGACCTTGGTTGTCTCACCAGTCCACCTTTTTCTGCACCTAAGCGAATTTTTTTGGAGGCAAACAACCCTTTGCCCAGCAATTTCTCGTGCAGCAGTTTAATATATATATATATATACTTTTTCTAAGTTTAAGATAGGTGTAAATGCGTTTTGGGATGTTAGATGGATGTTGGGTGCATACGATGGTGGGGTGCAGTGGTGCGATGGTACGGTGCGAGGGTACGATGGAAGGTGCCGTGGTACGGTGCGATGGTGCGATGGTACGGTGTGAGGTGCGATGGTCATGGTAAGGAGCGATGAATTGACGATATGATGGTATGATATGGTGATATAGTGGGTGATACATTGCTCTTATCATGTGGTGAGTGGACATTTGTTTGGTGCATATTTTGGGCTAGTATCAACATGTGGTATGACATATGATGGTTTATGATGCAACACATAGATGGTATGATTGCAAAGTAGACGGATGAATTGTTGGATATCTCATACTGCGGTGATAATGTGTCACACCATAGTTGTTTTCATTTGGCTGTGTTGGGTTGTTTCATCAAATAGATAATCAGATAGGTGTCCAATCATACACATCACAAACTATCCCAAACGCAAGGAACAAACAAACAAACCGATCACTGATAACTACAAAACATAAGTTTGGATGGATATTGTCCTGCCACAGTACCAAAAGATGCGTGGAAAAGGTGCTCAAGCACTGGTTATAAGATTATCTATTGTGATGGGCTGTGTTCTAGCGCTGCGTTGTAACGTAAAGGTAGATGAGATACGTCGTGTTGCTCTGTGATCACGGCTATGATTTGCCGCGGTACTGATGTCTGAAACAATTCATGAAACTTCCTCTACCGCAAAAAACATGAACTAGACTCATTGCCCCTATATTGATCTACGTGGTACAACTGTTGCGCCGGCTTGTTGATCTGTTTAGTCCCATGCATGCACATACACGAAAGTCAGCAAACGCTTTTTGGCTCTTCTTAGCAGGTTTGCTTTTTCACCTTCCCTACTGTTTCAAAATTGTATTGTAGCCAGCCTATTCGGTGAAATCACTTCTGTTGTTTGAGGATCCCATGGCTTCCTACTTTAGCTCTATTGAGGATTGAGGACCAACTTCATGTACATGTGGTACTGAGGCCTTTTGCTAGGGGCACTTTGCTAACAATTTGATTTTATCTCAAAGGTTGACCAAGTTGCAAAAAAATAAAGGCTACTTGGAATAGAATTACAGGGATTAAGCCTCCAACCAATCCATGAGATAGTTTGCTTTGTTTCTAAAGAGTTGTTGTTTCTTCGGGTCAATTTTTTGCCTTTGACTTCGGGCCGGTCCCTTTGGTATTGTTTGGACATTATTTGAACTGATGTGTAGGCAGTGCACGCCCTATTTTTTTTGAAACGACATCCAAAATTTCAACGGCAAAGAAAATCCATGAGCCCTGAGAACAAGGCGTTTGGGCAAACCGGCTACTTTGGTGCTGTCGTTTTTCGCATCATATCCAAAGGGATGCTTCTCAGCAGTTCCTACAATCACGTCCAAAATCACTAGCCAAATCACAGGAAACCATTAACGATTGCTCGGAAATCACTGGGAATGACTAGGAAACTGTTTTGGTAGGGAATACATCAAAGAGAGTCCAGTCTGTGCCAAGAAAGTCTCAACAAGAACTGCTCTTGATTTTTGCCCTGATGTTGTTTGTTTTTGCAACAATGTTTTGTTGCAAATAGAAGTTCACTAGATTGGAGGGTTCCATGGAGGGTTCGGCGGTCATGTTGATTCTTGGCTCGTGTACAAAAAAGGTAACACTGCAGTCAATGAGAACGACGCCTGCAGGAAGAGAACGATATGGACCAAGCACATGGGCATCTCGATGCAAAATACAGCTGTTGGCACCGTCGCAAGGGCCAATGTCAAAACATTGTTTTACAGGAGCTGAACTTAAGGTACCAGAAGAAAAACTGGCAAGAAGATACATAGCCATAGCTGTATGTATATAATTGTATATATATATATATTATATGTAAACATGCATAAAGCGGTAATGCAGTTACAAAATACCTGGAATAAATTGATCAGTGCAGCAGATGTTTCTTGTCAAGAAGCGCTGAAGGGTTACTTTTGCATATGAAACAATTATTTATCGGAAATTGCAAGATAGCACTACGTATGTTTCACTGGTTTCCTGCCGCCTACCTGAATTGGGGACTTTCGGCCCAGGTCAGCAAGAGGAACATCGAAACCATGGAAGAAGCACGAGGCCAGCCATTGCCGATGGACCATCTTCAGCAGCAAGGGAGGTTTCAAGTGGGTATTTTTCAGGTCGGACAAATCACAGTCCAATCTTTGGGAGAATTTGCAACTTGAGTAATTTCAGAATTCACATCGTTGTGCTTGAGAACCTGCAAGCAGAAAATGGGGATCCCAGGAAAGTGATGCTCTTGGAAATGATCATGTGGGAATCGATGATTTTCCTTGTCAGTATTTTGCAACGTACACGAAATTGGTGGAACACCTAAAACTATTTGCAGTAAACATGCCCACGGAATCAAGGCAAAATGGCCCCGCAGTGTTGTGTGTCGCTTTGACTCCAGACAGGATCGGTGCCACCTCCGCTTTACCGCCCGAACCAATAAGCCATTCATCCTGGAGAGATCGGAGTATGAAACCTATCGCGGCCACATCAGGGAGGGAGCTGAAGAGTGCTATGTGTCATTTCCAGGCCGATATGTATCCGGGTGGGATGCTTTGACAAGCGAGAGGCAAAACTACAGCGTGGCTTGCCTTTTTCTGTGCACTCCTGAGGATGGCCTTGGCCAACATTACCGTGAAGAAGCCTCTGGCCCCTGCCTGTGCCATACAATTTATGGAGAACGCAGCTTCTTCAGTTACTTGCTCGTTCTGCCAGGCACATTGACCGATGATGAGGTCACAAGGAGAAGAGAAATTGCAAAACACGTAAAAGCGGTGGTGATCCGTGAAGATGCAACCCCAGAGGCCAGACAGCTGGCTGAAGAGGAAGCAAGAAAAACTTGGAATGAGAATGGTAGAGTTGCTTCTTGGGGATGTCAGGGGTTCCAGGACTGGAAAGAGAACGTGGAGGAGGCCGTCAAGTTGAAACAGAGGCTCAAGGTGGTTTTTTTTCCTGGCCAGGTGGGACAGGGCAAAGTGGCATGGGAAGATTTGAGACACGAACTTGACCTTTGGGACGACATAGGCTGTGAAGGCGACCAAAAGTGCGAAATTGCTTATTTAGATAAGATGTGGAAGGAAAAAGGGGATGACTGGGCTTACGACTCCGTGGATGTGACAGATTTCCTGAAGGATGAATTCAAAGTTGGAGGGGACGTCGACGCCTTTGACGGGCAACAGTGGTGGAACGGCACTTTGCTTGGAGTGCCAAAGACGGTCCCGAAAGATCCTAGAGATGCAAAGTGGGTGGTTCAATCCCAGGCTGGAGAAATATTTACCACCGACCGTGTGCGGCATGCTGATTCGATGAGACAGATGCTTGCAGATGTTGGGCAAGAGGAGTTTCTGGGTTTTGTGAAGAGTGCATTACCCGCAGGACTCCAAGTCTCGAAAACTCTGGAGTTCATCTTCCCAAACGGCACGCCTTCGTTGGCAATGAGACTTGACATCAAATCCATTGCAGTATTCCAAGTTGTGAGGAACACAGTCTTGAGCACCGACTTGGAAATGATTGTCAACAAAAAACTGGAAATGCATTCAAAGTCAAAGTGGCAAGTTCGGCTGGACAAGACTCACTTCTGCGAGGTCTTTGAGAAGGAACTATTGTCCTTTACAGAGATGACCCAACACCACGAGAACATCGAGGATTTGCTTTGCAATGGTGCTGTGCATTTGAGCAGCGTTCGAAATTCCCCTTTACTTGTTTAGTATTGGGCTGGCATAAATTCCATCAAGACATAAGACTTTCCTTGGGTTTCGTAAGCAGTGCGAAAGGTTTGACGTATGCATTGGTCACAAACATGTTGCCGTAAGCCATTCGGAAGTCGATGTCGGGCCATGAGAGCTGGGGTTCAATCAAGCTTGTGTGTTTTGTTTGGTGCATGTTATTGAATGTTGTTGATGATGATGATGATGTTGATGATGATGATGATGCCATTGCATGTAGGGAAAGCAGACCAGAACGAATGCTACTTTCTTCACGGCCCTAGTTTTTCCCGAGAGCGCCTGCGAAGGGTTCTTCGTAAAAAAGCAGCCGTTATACTACATCTTCACACCTTCACATCTGCTGATCTACATCTTCACACCTTTACATCTGCTGATCTACATCTTCACACCTTCACACCTGCAGATCTACATCTTCACACCTTCACACCTGCAGATCTAGATCTTCACACCCTCACATCTGCTGATCTACATCTTCACACCCTCACACCTGCAGATCTAGATCTTCACACCTTCACATCTGCTGATCTACATCTTCACATCTCACATCTGCTGATCTACATCTTCACACCCTCACATCTGCTGATCTACATCTTCACACCCTCACACCTGCAGATCTACATCTTCACACCCTCACACCTGCAGATCTAGATCTTCACACCCTCACATTTGCAGATCTACATCTTCACACCCTCACACCTGCAGATCTACATCTTCACACCCTCACATCTGCAGATCTACATCTTCACACCCTCACACCTGCAGATCTACATCTTCAGACCTTCACATCTGCAGATCTACGTCTTCACACCCTCACATCTGCAGATCTACATCTTCACACCCTCACATCTGCAGATCTACGTCTTCACACCCTCACATCTGCAGATCTACATCTTCACACCTTCACATCTGCAGATCTCCTCTCGCTCTTCTTTCTATTCTCTCTTAAGGCGGGGGCGGTGCCGCCGGAGCGCCACGAAACGCAACCCTTTCGCACGAAATGGACGTTGGACGTCCAAAAACTTGTAAAATTGCGATTTTAGCGTCGCGCGCAACCCTTTCGCACGAAATGGACGTTGGACGTCAAAAACTGAGGAAAAATTGCGACTTTGAGGTGTCCATCGCAACCCTTTCGCACGAAATGGACGTTGGACGTCAAAAACTGAGGAAAAATTGCGACTTTGAGGTGTCCATCGCAACCCTTTCGCACGAAATGGACGTTGGACGTCAAAAACTGAGGAAAAATTGCGACTTTGAGGTGTCAATCGCAACCCTTACGCACGAAATGGACGTTGGACATCAAAAACTGAGGAAAAATTGCGAATGGATGTTGGACGTCAAAAACTGAGGAAAAATTGCGATTTTACTTGGTCAATCGCAACCCTTACGCGCGAAATGGACGTTGGACGTCAAAAACTGAGGACAAATTGCGATTTTACTTAGTCAATCGCAACCCTTACGCACGAAATGGACGTTGGACGTCAAAAATTGAGGAAAAATTGCAATTTTTAAGTGTCAATCGCAACGCTTTCGTCTGTGTAAAAGTGTCTGTGTGTAAAAGCCTCTGTGTGTAAAAGCCTCTGTGTGTAAAAGTGTCTGTGTGTAAAAGCATCTGTGTGTAAAAGCGTCTGTGTGTCAAAGTGTCTGTGTGTAAAAGCGTCTGTGTGTAAAAGCCTCTGTGTGTAAAAGCGTCTGTGTGTAAAAGCGTCTGTGTTTCAAAGCGTCTGTGTGTAAAAGCGTCTGTGTGTAAAAGCGCCTGTGCAAAAGCGTGTGTGTGTGTGTAAAAGTGTCTGTGTGTAAAAGCGTCTGTGAGTAAAAGCGTCTGTGTGTGAAAGTTTCGTTTTTGTGTAAAATCTTCTGTGTGTAAAAGCTTCTGTGTGTAAAAGCGTCTGTGTGTAAAGGAGTCTGTGTGTAAACGCTTCTGTGTGTGAAAATGTTTGTGTGTAAAAGGGTCTGTGTGTAAAAGCGTCTGTGTGTAAAAGTGTCTGTGTGTAAAAGTGCCGTGTGTAAAAGCGTTTGTGTGTAAAAGCTTTTGTGTGTAAAAGTGTCTGTGTGTAAAAGCGTCTGTGTGTAAAATCGTCTGTGTGTAAAAGCGTCTGTGTGTAAAAGCGTCTGTGTGTAAAAGCGTCTGTGTAAAAGCGTGTGTGTAAAAGTGTCTGTGTGTAAAAACGTCTGTGTGTAAAAGCCTCTTTGTGTAAAAGTGTCTGTGTGTAAAAGTGTCTGTGTGTAAAAGTTTCCGTGTGTAAAAGCCTCTGTGTGTAAAAGCGTCTGTGTGTAAAAGCCTCTGTGTGTGAAAGTGTTTGTATGTAAAAGCGTCTGTGTGTAAAAGCGTCTGTGTGTAAAAGCGCCTGTGCAAAAGCGTGTGTGTGTGTAAAAGTGTCTGTGTGTAAAAGCGTCTGTGAGTAAAAGCGTCTGTGTGTGAAAGTTTCGTTTTTGTGTAAAATCTTCTGTGTGTAAAAGCTTCTGTGTGTAAAAGCGTCTGTGTGTAAAGGAGTCTGTGTGTAAACGCTTCTGTGTGTGAAAGTGTTTGTGTGTAAAAGGGTCTGTGTGTAAAAGTGTCGTGTAAAAGCGCCTGTGTGTAAAAGCTTCTGTGTGTAAAAGCCTCTGTGTGTAAAAGCTTCTGTGTGTAAAAGCCTCTGTGTGTGAAAGTGTTTGTGTGCAAAAGTGTGTGTGTTTGTAAAAGTGTCTGTGTGTAAAAGTGTCTGTGTGTAAAAGCGTCTGTGTGTAAAAGCGTCTGTGTGTAAAAGCCTCTGTCTGTAAAAGCGTCTGTGTTTAAAAGCGTTTGTGTGTGAAAGTGTGTGTGTGTGTAAAAGCATCTGCGTGTAAACGCGTTTGTGTGTAAAAGCCTCTGTGTGTGAAAGTGTTTGTGTGTAAAAGCGTCTGTGTGTAAAAGCGTCTGTGTGTAAAAGCGCCTGTGCAAAAGTGTGTGTGTGTGTGTAAAAGTGTCTGTGTGTAAAAGCGTCTGTGAGTAAAAGCGTTTGTGTGTAAAAGTGTCTGTGTGTGTAAAAGTGTTTGTGTAAAAAGTTCTGTGTGTACAAAGCTTCTGTGTGTAAAAGCGTCTGTGTGTAAAGGAGTCTGTGTGTAAAAGCGTCTGTGTGTAAAAGCGTCTGTGTGTGAAAGTGTTTGTGTGTAAAAGCGTCTGTGTGTAAAAGTGTCGTGTAAAAGCGCCTGTGTGTAAAAGCTTCTGTGTGTAAAAGCCTCTGTGTGTAAAAGCTTCTGTGTGTAAAAGCCTCTGTGTGTGAAAGTGTTTGTGTGCAAAAGTGTGTGTGTTTGTAAAAGTGTCTGTGTGTAAAAGTGTCTGTGTGTAAAAGCGTCTGTGTGTAAAAGCGTCTGTGTGTAAAAGCCTCTGTCTGTAAAAGCGTCTGTGTTTAAAAGCGTTTGTGTGTGAAAGTGTGTGTGTGTGTAAAAGCATCTGCGTGTAAACGCGTTTGTGTGTAAAAGCCTCTATGTATGACACAGGTTATTTCATTTTATTATGGAAAATCCCACATAAATGGCCCAAACAAGCTCGGTACCATGATGCCGTGCATGACACATGTTATTTCATTTTATTATGGAAAATACCACATAAATGGCCCAAAAAGATCGGTACCATGATGCTGTAAATCACACATGTGACAAGACTTCACTAGTGAAATGTCTGCAAACGTTTGCACAAAAAAAGGTCCAATACCATAATGCAGTAAATGACACGCGTTATCTCATTTTATTCTGGGAATATCCCACAGAAACTATCAAAAAAGCTCGGTACCATGATGCCGTGTATGACACATGTCATTTCATTTTAGTATGGAAAATCCCACATAAATGGCCCAAAAAAGCTCGGTACCATGATGCTGTGTATGACACATGTTATTTGATTTTTTTTTCCCAAAAGCATCTTCGATGCTTGGGTTCTCGTTTAGTTGTTTAACCGCGTGGGGGAGCGACCTGGCTCGAACGGTGGGGTGCGGACGGCGTGGGTGCAAGGGAAAGGAAAGGAAAGGAAAGGAAAGGAAGGGAAAGGAAAGGAAAGGAAGGGAAAGGAAGGGAAAGGAAGGGACAGGAAGGGAAAGGAAGGGAAAGGAAGGGAAAGGAAGGGACAGGAAGGGAAAGGAAGGGACAGGAAGGGAAAGGAAGGGAAAGGAAGGGAAACGAAGGAAAAAGGAAGGGAAAGGAAGGGACGGGAAGGGAAAGGAAGGGAAAGGATGGGAAAGGAACGGAAAAGGATGGGAAAGGAAGGGACAGGAATGGAGCGGACGGCTGCGGACGGCCTGGGTGCAAAAAGGACCATATGTACATGCACTACCATGTAACAATGACATATTCTGACATATTATGACATATTCTGACATATAATGACAGACATATCATGACATATTGTGACATATTGTGACATATTATGAGATATTATGACATCTTGTGACCTATTATGACATACTGTGACATATTGTGACATATTATGAAATATTATGACATATTGTGACATATTATGACATTTCATGACATATTGTGACATATTATGAGATATTATGCGATATTATGAGATATTATGAGATATGATGACATATGATGACATATTATGACATATTATGACATATTATGACATATTATGACATATTATGACCTATCATGACATATTGTGACATATTATCAGATATTATGCGATATCATGAGATACTATGAGATATTATGACATATGATGACCTATTATGACATACAATGACATAGTATGAC